TCTGGTGATGCTGAAGATGCGGATGAGGATGCGAATGGCGATGATGGTGATGTTGATACCCATGCTGATGCGGAGACTGACGAGGAGGATGATGATGACGATGATGATGATGGTGCTGATGACGTGTATGATCATGGTGATGGTAATGATGGCCATGCTGCTGATGATGATGGTGGTGATGATGATGCTGATGCTGATGATGATGATGCTGATGATGATGCTGATGATGCTGATGCTGGCAATAATGAGTTTGGAGGGGAAGGCGGCGGAGGAAGAGGAGGAGAACGAGGGGGAGTAGGATGCTGATGAGGAGCAGGAGAAGGAAGAGGAGGAGGAGGAGGAGGAGGAGAATGTGCGAAGGAGGTGCAAGAGAACATAATGAGGAGCGGAACCAATAGATGGATTAGAAGGATCACGAGAGGGAGGAGTCGGAGAAGGAAAACTACTAGAGGATGAGGAGCAGAAGGAGGATGATAGATGCTGCTGCTGCTGCTGACGACGACGATGATTATGATGCTGATGGTGATGGGGATGGTGATGATGATGATACTGACGATGCTGGTGCTGACGGTGGTGATGGTGATAATGATGATGGCCTTGGTGTTCATGATTATGATGATGAAGACGATGCTGCGGATGGTGATGATGATCGTAATAGTGGTGATGAGGCTGATGATGACGACGACGACGATGATGATGCTGATGGTCATGATGATGCTGCTGATGATGTTAATGTCGGTACTGGCAATGATGATGGGGCCGACGACGACGGCGACGATGATGATGATTTTTTCGAACCACAGGAAGGTCGCTTTCATCATCCTATCATCCTTGGTCTCCCTTGAGCGAGCTGCAAGCGCGAAAACTACACGTCATATGTTGATTCGGGCGCCTACCACCAATCTGCTCTGAAAGCTTGGAGTCCTGGCTGGATCCGAAAGCAGGTCGTGTCTGAGAGGCTGCTCAAGCCTCTAAATGAAAGCAACATCTATTGAGTGCACTATTGTGTTCAATGGTGCCAGCTGTGCGATGCTCCATCTGCCCAGTCAAAGTCAAGCGGAACTCGCGGGTGCTGCATCGGTTCTGAAAAAGTCCAGGTCCGAATGGCTCAGAAAACCGTTCCACCTTTCTCCCCAAAAAAATTATAAATGCTCGTGAACTCCCGCTGTGGCGTCGGTTCAACAGAAGCTGGAAGAGAAAACGGCGCGTCACGAGTTGGAGGGCGAGGATGTGCCAGAGGAGGAAAATCAGGTGGAGGGTGAACGCCACGAGAACGACATGTATGCAGGAAGTCCTGCCGGTAGCAGGCACTCCAGGCCAGCTCGTGAGGCGCAACGCCTGAATTAACTGCAGTGGAGCCTGTGCTGCCCTGGACTTACCGAGAAATGGTGCCTGTTGAGTTGAAGCATTTCATACCCCATCAACCCCTTGAAGGTCATCTGAGAACGAGGCCCACGTATAAGAAGGCCCGCCTGCGCTAAGTATGGTATTCCTCCCGCTTCCGACTACCTGCGCACTGCAAACATTAGTTGGAGTAACTTTGTACTCTTCGAACTCAGTCCGTCTTTGGAACGGCTTCTGGCCGAAACTCACTGCGACTTGTTTGAAATCATCTCGTCTGGCAGAAACACGGAGGCCGCGTCCTCGGAGGCAAGGGTCACATTTAGCTTCTCCGCCTGCGCTGTGACTGCCAAGATGAATGATTGCTGAAGCTCTCTCTTCTTCTTGCCGATACCAGGTGAACAGATGACTTTGATTTCGAAGCCATGCGAAAAGCCGCTCAAGCAGCACTTCTTGTACCCACTCTGGAGGACATTCTGGCTTTCGTCGATCCAGCGCTTGGCGAAACTAACGAGCTCGTTGACTTTCTCTGGGTTCGAAGATGGGCTGGCCGTGAAATTCATCAGCAACGGCTTAGTCGGCCGCCGGGACCAGTTCTGGATCATAGAATCCATCAGTTCGCAGAGTGGCAGGTATGTCTGCTTATTGTCGAAGGTCCTGATCAGCACATAGCTGAGTGTGACGTGCTCAACGAAGCCATCGATGCCAGCATCTGCGCTTCGGCCCATCCGTTTGATGGTCACCAAGTCTCCGACGAAGAAGGGCTTGTGCGTCCAAATCTTGATCAGCGTTACGGCTTGATCCCAGAATTTGTAGCCTAAGCACGTCGCTGTCACCAAGTAGTACACGACTCCGCCCACCAGCACCGCACCCGCATACTCGCAGACGAGGGTGTAAGATATGTACGAAACGACAGCAACAAGATTGGAGCCGATCCTGAGCGGGTGCCAGACTTTCTCATAGACCACGTCTGCGATGCCACGATTATGTGTGCTCGCTGCCATGAACTTGTCCGCCGTGGGGTTGCCAGTACGGGTAAGGCCAACGCTGTGGAGGATACTCCTCATCTTCTTGACAGGCTTCTCCTCAAGAAGAGAATGCTCGCACACCATAATCTGGTGGACGATGTGATCCAGGTAATCCATGAAGCGCAGATAGGACAGGGCGCAAAGGGTGGCGAGGAGATTGCTGAGCGCGCGAATCAAGAAATGCTTGAAGTCGTCTTTGACCACCTCATCGACGGCCTCCTTGACAGCGAAAACTACGATTAACAAATACGGCATAACTGACGCCGTCGCCAGTGAGGGCGAGAACACCGGGATGGCTAACAGAGTCGCTGGGATAAAGCAAAGGTATGCCTTGGCGACCCGATGCTTATGCCAATCATCCTCAAAGATCGAATGAGCGTCCCCGCTGACGCGCAGGTCATCGTAGTGGCTGCGAAAAAGGTAAAGGGGGACCCCGACGCCAGTGATCGCATATAGCACGACGAAGGCGACCACCACGGGCCTCTTGAAGAAGCTGTCGGGGAAGGGATGCGGCTCGAAGTCCTGCCGAACCAGCCGGACGTTGTTGACGATCGCGCCAGCAAAGTCGCGCGAGCGAGCGGGGTGCTCGCCCCCGTCGGGCTCGGTCGCGGGGTGCTCCTCCTCCTTCCCCGAAATCAGCCGGCGCGTCTCGGCCGCGTCCTGAGTCATCGGGGAGCCTCGCCCGCTCCGGTCGCGGGTGAGACTGGCGGCGCACAGGCCCGAAGCGGGATCGGACGCACGCTTCTGAGTCGGAGGGCTGCTCGGCGGCTGAAGAGCAAATGGCTTGAGCTAAAATGGCTACGGAGCGACGGTTATGATGATGATGATCGTCATCATCATGATGCTGGCGATGGCGATGGTGGTTCTTCTGATGGTAATGCTGATGACGATCATGCCGATGATGATGCTGATGATCATGATGATGCTGATGATGCTGATGATGGTGCCCAAGTTGACGATGATGATGATGATGATGATAATGATGATGGCGATGATGATCATGATGATGCTTATTGGGATGCTGATGATGTTGATGATCAGTGATATCATGATGATGTTGAGGCTGATGCTGATGATGATGACGGAGGTGGTGATGATGATGATGATGCCGATGATGATGCTGATGAAGATGCTGATGAAGATGAAGATGATGACGATGATGACGATGATGACCATCAGGATGCTGCTGGTGATGATGATAATGACATTGCTGTTGTTGGTGATGGTGGTGTTGCTGTTGTTTCTGTTTTTTGTTCGTGCTGTTGTTGTCGTTGTTGTTGAGTGTGTTGGTGGTCTTGTTGTCGTTGCTGTTGGTCGTGTTGATGTCGTTGTTGTGGTTGTTGTTGTTGGTGGTGTTGCCGTTGTCGTGGTCGATTTCGTTGTCATCGATGTTGATGCGGAAACGAAATCTGGGAACCTGACCGGACCTCTGGACACGGAACGGGCAACTTACGTTTCCTGAGGTCGGGGTCCGGAAACGATCTCCAGAAACGCTCTCTTTCTTGAGTGGTCGCCTTCCCTAACGTGTCCCCATCCACCTCCTCCTCCTCCTCATCTCCCTCCTCCTCCTCCTCCTCCTCCTCATCCTCCTCCTCCTCCTCCCCCTCCCTCTGCCCGCATGGATCCAGTACCCCAGGTGAGACGGCACCCCAGGGCGTCAACGTTGTCAACGTTGTCAAGGTTGCCCTCCCCTCCTCCTCCTCCTCCTCCTCCTCCTTCTCCTCCTCCTCGTCCTCCCATGCCAGCGAGGAGCCAGTGCTCCAGTTGAGGCGGCCCCCCAAGGCGTCCACGTTGTCAACGTCGTCAACGCTGCACTCCCCTCAGCCTCCTCCTCCTCCTCGTCCTCCTCGTCCTCCTCCTCCTCCTCGTCCTCGTCCTCCTCCCCCCCTGCCAGCGAGGAGCCAGTGCTCCAGGCGAGGCGCCCCCCCAGGGCGTCAGCGTCGTCAACGTCGTTAACGTTGACGCCTCCCGCCCTCTGCCAGCGTGTACCTATAGGGCCCCAAGCGAGGCGCCCCCCCAGGGCGTCAACGCTGTCAACGCTGTCAACGCTGCCAACGTTGGGCCGACCTTCGTCCCCCCTTTGCCAGCGAGACCCCAGGGCTTCAGGTGGGGCGGCCCCCCAGGGGGCCAACGTTGTCGACGTTGTCAGCGCTGGGCCTCCCCCCTCCTGCCGGCGAGGACCCAGGGCTCCAGGTGGGGCGGCCCCCCAAGGCGCCAACGTTGTCAACGTTGTCAACGTTGTCAGCGAGATCCCGGAGCTCTAGGTCCAGCCGCTCCCGGGGTTCTCTTTCAAGGACTGAGGCTTGCTTACGTTCGCCGGGGGACTGAGGCTTGCTTGCGTCAGACAGACGGTCCCCCTAGGACGTCAACGTTGTCAACGTTTTCAACGTTGGGCCTCCCTCCCTCTGCCAGCGTGTACCTAGGGCTCCAGGTGAGGCGGTCCCCGAAGCGTCAACGTTGTCAACGTTGTCAACGTTGAGCCTCCTCCCTCCCCATCCCTCGTCAGCCAGAACACAGGACTCAAGATGGGACGGCCCCCCCAAGGCGCCAACGTTGTCAACGTTGTCAACGTTGGGCCTCCCCCCCTGCCAGCGAGATCCCGGAGCTCCCGGACCGGGAGCTCCGGGAACTCCCGGAGCTCCAGGTCCAGAGCTCCCAGAGTTGGCTTGCTTGCGTCCATGTCCATGTGCTGTTCAGCCTCACGCATCGGGACTGAGGCTTCCTTGCGTTCGCCGCTACCTCGTCGTCTCTTGAGGGACTGAGGCTTGCTTGCGTCAGACAGACGGTCCCCCAAGGCGTCAACGTTGTCAACTTTGTCAACGTTGTCAGCGTTGGGCCTCCCTCCCTCCGCCAGCGAGGACCCAGGGCCCCAGGTGAGGCGCCCCCCCAGGGCGCCAACGTTGTCAACGTTGTCAACGCGTTGGCCCCTTGGGGGGCCGCCTCACCTGGAGCTCTGGGTCCTCGCTGGCAGGGGGGGGCCCAACGTTCACAACGTTGACAACGTTGACAACGTTGGCCCCTTGGGGGGTCGCCTCACCTGGAGCCCTGGGTCCTCGCTGGCAGGGGGGGAGGCCCAACGTTGACAACGTTGACAAAGTTGACAACGATGGCGCATTGGGGGACCGTCTGTCTGACGCAAGCAAGCCTCAGTCCCGATTGACTACCTACCAGACCACCCCAACCCAACCCGAAGACCCGAATTTCGGGTTGGGGGGGGTATGGGTTCCATATGTGTTTTTTCGATGTTCCCGGACCTCCCCCCACTAGAAATCGAGGGTAAATCTGAGCCTTCGAGTTGGGTTTGGGTGGTTTGGTGGGTGGTGACCGATGCATGAGGCTGAACAACTAATTGACGCAAGCAAGCCTCAGTCCCTGAAAGGAAACTCTCGGAGCTCCGGACCTGGAGCTCCGGGCCCTCCGCTGGCTGAGGGGGGGGGAGGCCCAACGTTCACAACGTTGACGACGTTGGCCCCTTGGGGGGTCGCCTCACCTGGAGACCTGGGTCCTCGCTGGCAGGGGGGGGGAGGCCCAACGTTGACAACGTTGACAACGTTGGCCCCTTGGGAGGGCGCCTCACCTTCAGCCCTGGGTCCTCGCTGGCAGGGGGGGAGGGGGCGAGCTCGGAGGGGGCCCAACGTTGACAACGTTGGCGCCCTGGGGGGCCGCCTCACCTGGGGCCCTGGGTCCTTGCTGGCAGAGGGAGGGAGGCCCAACGTTGACAACGTTGACAACGTTGACGCGCTGCGGGATGGGAGTGGGGCGCCGCGGCGAGCGTCCAAAAGCCTCAAGGCGCACAGCGTCCCTTCCTCCGGCCGCGGGGGGCACCACGTGCCGCGGAGCGCGCGGGCTGGAGTCCCCCCCGGTGGGGCCGGAGCAGATGCCCGCGAGCCACCCCGGCGAGCGCAGGAGCCTCCCAGATGGGGTCGGAGTGCGGTCAGCCCGTAGCACAAGGACGCACGAGAAGCATGCAAGGGCCTCGGAAGGCCCTCTCGAAGCTTTCCGAGCGGGGCGCGGCCAACGAAATGTGGCGAAGGACGGGCCGAGGAGGCAAGGACGCCAGGGGACCCTTGGGAAGGTGGCCCATCCTTACCATGCGGGTCGACTGCCGCTGCTGGCGTAAAGAACGCCCATCCACAGACGTTGCGTCGACGGTACTGCCCCCTGGCCCCCATTCGCAATGCTGCGCTCGCGGCCGTCGTCGGGGTGCAAGCATCGGCACAAAAACCGCCCAAGACTCCACCGCCAAGGCAACCCCGTTCTCAACATTGAAATCTGGTGGCACGTGGGTTCTGAACACAGCAGCGTGGTCCATTATGCCTGGTGGGCGTTTTTTGTACGCCAACGGCAATAGCAAAGACGAAGGACATCCTAGGGGATGGCAGGGGGGGGGGCACCCCTCCGAGACCTCGGCTGTTCGTGGCCCTCGGGCCAGCTGCACAGTCGGGCTTGATTGGAGAGGACACGCGAGAGGACACGAGACCCTTTCGAGGGCCACGTCGCCACAGGAACGCACGAAGCATGGGTCGCGAGACACCGGACACAAGGCTTAGGTCGGGCGTGTCCCCCTACAGGGGGATGCTCGACGAAGAGATTCAAAAAAATAAAAAATAAAAAACCCAAATTACTCCAAAAAGGTCAGAAAATATTCAAAAAATAGTCCCCAGGCTATTGTTTGAGAATTGTTCTACTATTTTGGGGGTATGTTTTATTTTTCGTCGAAGATCCCCCTGTAGGGGGACAGGCCCGACTTGCCACTTGGGCCGCCTTGGCGCCCTCTTGGGCCGTTTTGGGGGCCTCTTGGAAGCCTCTTGGGCCGTCTTGGGGCGGTCTTGGGGGCCTCTTGGAGCGTCTTCAACGCAGTGAAAGCCGAAAAGCCTTGCATGCTGAAAATGTACCTTTTTTCCCATGAGAAATCAATTATTTTCGCCTCCACCCTTGAGCTGGCAGGGTCGGCCTACGGCAGGTTCGTGTCGTGCCGACCCCGGCGATGATTTTTGAAACCGCAGGGATCGTTCAACCTTGAACGATCGGCCGTTTCCGAAACGTCCAAATCGTTCCACATCGATCGATTCTGGGTCGCCGGCGGCGTTCAACCTTGAACGCCCGCGCTGGGGTCGCCGCTGGTCGACACGACGCAAACCTACCGTACCTTTTCCCATGAGAAATCAATTATTTTCGCCTCCACCCTTGAGCTGGCAGGGTCGGCCTACTCGTCCGGGCCGCCCGCACCGCGGGCCCGCAGGGCGACGAGCGGCACCCGGCCTCGCCCGGAGAGCCGTGCGCGCCTCGCAGGCCAGCACAAAGCACGAGGCCTCCTCCTCCCCCTCCTCCTCCTCCTCCTCCTCCTCCTCCTCCTCCTCCTCCTCCTCCTCCTCCTGCCTCCTCTCCTCCTCCCTCCTCCCTCCCTCCTCCTCCTCCTCCTCCTCTCCTCCTCCTCCTCCTCCTGCCCCTCCTCCTCTTCCTCCTCCTCCTCCTCCTGCCCTTCCTCCTCCTCCTCCTCCTGCCACGACACTGGACACCCTAACAGTCCTATCCTTGATTTTAAACATGTGCTTAACATGGAGAAGAATGTCCTACACCTTTAAACAAAAAAATGCTTTCACATGCTTAAAACATGTTTAATCCATGTGTTAGACATCTGGAAAGTATTTGGCAACACGTTTCCTCTCCATTGATCGTCCTCCACACCTCTAGCGCCTTTTCAGTCACGAGGAAGAACAAGAAAAGAAATAGCAGTAAGAAAAAATGAGAAGCACAGGGAATATAAGAAGAAAAAGAAGAAAAGGGAAGAGGGGGAAGAAGGCAGATACTTCGAAGAAGAAAAACACTAGGGCGAAACAGAGGAGGAAGAACAAGAAGAAGAACGCTGGCCAGCTTCCCCGCGCTCTGTCGCCTCCTGCCCCTTGCCCCTTGCCCCTGCCCTCACATTCCCCCCGTTCCCCGTCCCTGCCTCCCGATCCCTGCGCCTCCACCCCTCCTTGCCGTCGCTCGGACGTCCATGTCCCGTGCGTTTGTTGCTTTCGTGCGTGGTTTTTCCCCACATCCTAAGTGGAATTCTTGTTTTCTATGGACACCCTCCACGCAGGATCTCCTCACCCCCCTCTCTCTCTCTCTTTTTTTCTCTCTCTCTCTCTCTCTCTCTCTTTCTCTTCCTCTCTCTTGCCGTCATCATCACCACTCATCATCACTCATCATCATCATCATCATCATCATCATCATCATCATCATCATCATCATCATCATCATCATCATCATCATCATCATCATCATCATCATCCTGATCATCCCTACCATCATCACCCCCGCACCCCTTCACCCACCATCATCATCATCACCAACAATCGTCGTCAATACTCATCATCATCTTCGCCATCGCCACCATCATCATAATCATCACACTCATTCACACTCACACCATTATAATCCTCCTCATCAACAACATCATCATAATTCGATCAATCATCATCCTTACCATCCTCATCCTCATCAACAGCATCATCATCATTCTACCACTCATCATCACCATCATCATCATCACCACTCACCATCATCAGCATCATCCTCATTACCACCCGCTCACTCATCACTTCGTCATCATTCACTCCCTAGTCTGAATATGGAGGACGCCTAGAGCGGGAGCCTCGTCTGTGAATGAATTGTGAGGAAGTCTCAGGCGGGACCCCCTCCCATATGGGTCCCGCACTTCACGTTGGTAATCCGAGCGGGTCATCCTCAAACCTGTAACTGTCGTGACTTTTGGGCTCCTGAAGTATGAATTTGGACGAAATACCAAGCGGGAGCCTCGTTTGTGGGTGACTTGCAGGGAAGTCTCCGGCGAGAGCCCCCTCTCCCTATGGGGGCCGCACTTCATGTTAGTAATCCGAGCGGGTCATCTAAAGCGTGTAACTGTCGTCACTTTTGGGCTCCTGAGGCTTGAATATGGAGGACGTATCAGGCGGAATCCACGTCTGTGAGTGAATTGCGAGGAAGTGTCAAGCGGGAGCCTCTTCCTTATGGGGCCGGCACTTCATGTTGCTAATCCGAGCGGGTCATCCTCAAACCTGTAATTGTCGTCACTTCTGGGCTCCTGAAGCTTGAATATGGGGAAAAAGTATCAGGCGGGAGCCTTGTCCGTGAGTGAATTGCAAGGAAGTCTCAGGCGGGAGCCCCCTCCCTATGGGGCCCGCACTTCACTTTGGTAATCCGAGCGGGTCGTCCTCAAACATGTAACTGTCGTCACTTTCGGGCTCCTGAGGCCAGAATACGCAGGAAATCTTAAGCGGGAGCCTTGTCTGTGAGTGAATTGCGAGAAAGTCTCAGGCGGGAGCCCCCTCCCCCTATGGGGGCCGCACTTCACGTTCGAATCCGAGGCTGGTCATCCTCAAACCTGTAACTGTCGTCACGCTTGGGCTCCTGAGGCTTGAATATGGGGGAAGTATCAGGCGGGAGCCTTGTCTGTGAGTGACTTGCGAGGAAGTCTCAGGCGGGAGCCCCCTCCCTATGGGGCCTGCGCTTCATGTTCGAATCCGAGGCGGGTCATCGGATTCTTGTAAGTGTCGTCACTTTTGGGCTCTTCAGGCCTGACTGTGGAGGAAATATCCAGCGAGAGCCTCGTCTGTGAGTGAGTGGCGAGGAAGTCTCAGGCGGGAGCCTCTCCCTATGGGTCCCGAGCCGACGGAGGCCGCGACCGCTCCTGCTCCCGCGGCCGGGTACCGACCGCCGGTGACCGCAGCGCGCGAGGAGAGACACTCCTGGGCGAGCCTGCATGACAACCGCCTCCAGAGCACTCGCGACGAGGATGACGCGGGCGCCGACGACGGCGCGGACGAGGGCGCTGGCGGCCTGGGCACCGACCTCACTGCGGCCAAATTTGACGGCAAAGTGTATTCCACGCCCAGCGCGTACATCGCCGAACTGGTCGACGGTTTGCCGGACGACCAGAGACTCACGCGGGACCAGACGCTCTTCGTCGCAAGGTTCGCCAAGGCCTGCGACCAAGTCTGGGAGGACGACGTGCAGAAGAACCCTGGAACGAGAGAAAAGTGACGCACTTGCTCCTGCTGGGCCAGGGCGGCTCGGGGAAGACTCACGTGGTGCAGAAGATCGTCTACCCAGTGGTGGAGTATTTGTGGCCCCCGTCGTCGACGGACAAGGGCGCCATGATGGTCGTGGCCTTCTCTAACGCGCAGGCAAAGAACATTTCCACGGAGACTGTGAAGGCTAGAACGCTGCACAACGCCTGTGCCTTGCGAGTCCAGAACTGCATCAACGCGAAGATGAGACCGGGGGGCATGCTGAAGAGGTTGAAATTGTTATGGGAGCACGTCCGCGTTCTGGTCATCGAGGAAGTCAGCATGGTGGCGGCAGCTCTGTACAACGCGCTGGACCTTCGCGCTTGCCACGGACGCAGTGACACGCACGACGTGCGGGAGTCCACCTACAAGCGGCCGCACCACCACTTCGGGCGCGTCCCCATCGCGCTGCACCTCGGCGATTTCCTGCAGCTGAAGCCCACCGGCAGCATCGGGCTCCTGACTGACATGAACGAGCGCTCGGACGATGGAAAAGGGTCGTACAAGTACGCGGAGCCGCCGACAGTGGAGATTCAGCACGCCACCACGGTCTTCTCTGAGATCCCCTGCGTCTTCGAGATGAAGGGCACGAAACGCTTCGAGCCCGGGGACCCTCTGATCACGCTCTTGGGCTGCATGCCCGAGGGCAGGCCCTTCCCACCAGAGGTCTGGTCTGCTTGGGAGAAGACGTTGGCCTTGGACAACCAGGGCGCCCTTGACCCTCGGCACCAACACGAGAACTTTCTGCTCGGCTACGGCATGGGCATCTACTGGGAGACGCTGGCGAGGTGGAACAACACGAGTGCTCATCGCGACGCTCGGCGTCTGGGCGTGCCCCTCGTTTTCTTGCAGGCCGTGGACGAGCGCGGCACGATTCAGGGCGATCCCGACGCGGGTCGGCGCCTCCTGGACGTCCCGAACATGCACAATACGGGGGACATCCACGGCGTCTGGCCGGCCCACGTCGGCATGGAGGTGCGATTCACGGCCGCGCAGGAGGAGCTGAAGAAGAAGTTGGGGCTCGCGCAAGTACAACGGGCCACCATCGTTTCCTTCGAGTTTCAGTTAGACGACGAGCGAGAGCAGCGAGAGTACGAGTGCGTTTCAGGCCAGCTCTGTCGCCCCCGCTACTTACCGCAGGGAATCTGGCGGCAGGTGCACGGCTTCCAGGAATCCCCGATCTACCAGGAGGTCGCCGAGGTGCTGCTGCAGAACGCCGAGGGCGCTGACGACGACGGCGAAGCCAAGGCGCGGGCGAGGAGCTTGCTCATGTTCAGGCCAAGCGAGCAGCAGCTCACGTGACAGAGCTCGGGGACGCACACTGTGCGCCGCTCGGGGTTCACCGTGACGCACGCGTCCTACTTGACCTCGACGCTGTCGCAAGGCCAGACGCTGCGCAAAGGCGTCATCATCGACTGCGCCAGAGATGAGGACGCTGGCCGCACGGGCATGTCGGACGAGCAGTGGTGGCTGCACCTCTACGTCATGTTCTCCCGCGCCACGCGCATGCGGAACATGCTGATCCTGCGGCCGCCCGCGCGAGAGTTCCTGGAGCGCGGGCCGCCGGCGTCCCTGCGGAAGGCGCCCCAGGAGTTCGACAAGAGAGCGGTGGACTCCAGGGCTGAGGCGGAGCAGCTCGCGGCAGAGCTGGGCTTCGTGCTGCCTCCCGCCTGAGCGCCGCGGCGCGCACCTGGAGGCCCGCGGGGTTGTCCCAACGGTCTGGCCCGCGGGGTTGTCCCGACGGCCTGCCCTCGCGCCCCGGCGGCCCGCGGGATTGCCCCAAGGCATGGCTGGCCCGAAGGGCTGTCCCGACGGCTTCGCGATCTAGCCGTCGGCAAACGCGCGCGTGCTGGCCGAGGCGGCGACGGCGCCGAGGAAAATCGACTTGCTCCCCCCGGCCAGGGGAGAAGAGGCACGAGGAGGATGAGGAGGGAAGGGGTAGGGGGAGGGCGATGATGAGGAGGAGGTGGAGAAGGAGGAGGAGGGGGAGGAGGAGAAGTAGGGGGAGGGGGAGAAATAGAAGAAGGAAGAAAAGAGGGCTGAGGAGAGGGCGAGAGGA